GGGGCCTTGGCTGCAGCTGCAGGGCCATTGGTGACTTGGGCCAGCCCTCCGCTGTCCCTAATACCTGTGTGTCCGTCTCGACCCCTCCCTGACTCGAGAGCGTGCCTCCTGGAGGGGACATTTCCTGCGGGGAGAGAATGGCTCCTCCCTTGGAAGTGTCCCCCATCCCATGACCCAGCCCCAGGTCCCAGCCTCAGCACAGCCTGGGTACATGGGAGAGCAGAGCCATGGGGTGAGGGAACGGGGAGTGGGGAGACCTGAGCACCCAGGGACTCACCCCCACCCCCTGCCTGCCCGGCGGCCACCCTAGGGGACAGGGTTTAGCATTAAAATCAAGTCATTCTGAGGGGAGACCTAGAGAGACTGCCTCCTGGCAGGCCTGACCCTTCCGGCTATAAACGGGGATAATAATATCCCCGGTCAGAACTGGAGATGTGCTTTGTAAACTGTCAAGTGTCAAGCAGACAGAGGTGTGTCCTGGAGCCCACTGTCCCAGCCCCTGGGGAGAGGGTGCGAGTGAGTGGTCGGCTCGCGATGTTCCCGCGAGGCGATGTGGGAACAGCCTGTCTATCCAGACACCGAACCCCCACCCACTTGCAGGGCCAAGAACCCAGACTGACAATGACTCAGACACACAAACACCCAGGGCTCAGAGCCAGGCCCCCGGGCTGCATGGCGGCCAGTGTTGGGGGAACCCTCATCCGGTCCCCCCTCAGCCTCTATCTTCTGTCTCAGTTGCCCAAATTGGTGTCATGGAGCCCATCCCGTGCTTGAGCACTCCTGTATGCCACACTCTTACAGACATGAGTAGTCCAGCTTAAGGCCTTGTGGGGGCCCAGGCATGGTGGCGCACCCCTGTCATCCCAGGACTCTGGGAAGCTGAGGCAGGAGCATCGCAAGTTTGAGCTCAGCCTGGCAACTTAGTGACTTGGTGAGACCCTGTCTCAAAATAAAAATAAATAAATAAAAAGGCCTGGGAATGTAGCTCAGTGCAAAGGCCCTGGGTTCGATCTCCAGTACCAAAACAAAAAAAAGGGTAAAATTGGGCCAGGGATTTAGCTCAGTGGTTCCAACACTTGCCTCGAAAGCGTAAGGTCCCAAGCTCGATCCCCGGTACCCCCCAAAAAAAAATTTTTTTAAAGATAACATTAAAAAAAAGGTTTAAAAAAAAGGGTAAAATACTTGCCAGTTTTAAGACTCAAGACCAAAACCAATGTAAAATATTTCAATGCTCTTTATATTGATTACCTGCTGAAATAATAATAGTATTTTAGGTATACTGCATTCAATATAACATATTATTAAATTAATTTTTTTCTGATATGTAGCTGCTAGAAAGTTTGAAATAAGGGGAAGGAGGAAGCACTGGCCGGCACGTCTGCAGCTGGGCCTGATGAGTGAGGTGGGAGTCGTGGGGTCTCTCACCCCACCTGGCTGCTGATCCTGTCCCAAGCGCTCCAGCCCAACCAGCAGCCGCTTCCGCCCCAGGCCTCCGCTTGGTCCACAGGAAGGATTCGTGCCCTGCTGGTGTCCTGCGCTGCCTGCCTTCTTCCTGTGAGTTCTCTTACTCTCTCCGAGGTGGGAATGACTGCCAGTAGCATCTTCCGGGGCTCTGGGTGAAACCAGTGGGGTCTGAGCCCTGCAGCCTGTCTGCCTCTCTTGCCCACCCAGGGTTCCACACTGAGTCCTGCTTCAATGGTGGGACCCTGACTCTGTAGATCAGGAGGGGAGCAGAAGCCACACCCCAAGGGTCTGGCCGGGATCTGTCTCCACCTCCTGGAAGGCTCATCCATGCTAACCCCACACTTGGATGTGGAGAGACAGAATGGGTTCACCTTGCACCAGGAGGATGACAGGAAGGGCCCACACTTGGCTCATGGTCAGCAGGAGCCTGAGGAGCCACAGAGAGACCCGGGGGGCAGGGGTGAGGGTGGAGCAGACCTGTGGTGGACGCTGAGACCAGGGGACCCCGGCCACAAAGTCCAGCACCCAGACATCCAGAACCAGCCTGGGGCCCAGAAGGGGACTGGTCAGAAGGAAGGATGGCCACAGAGCACAGTGGGATGGGATGGGCTAGGCCTGGACAGCCCTACTCCAAGCCTGGAATTTATCTAAATGGCTACAGAGGGTTTCTTTCTTTCTTTCTTTTGCATACTGGGGGTTGAACCCAAGGCCTTCGCACTGAGCTACATCCCCACCCTTTTTTAAATTTTTAAATTTTGAGACAGGGTCTCACTAAGTTGCTAAGTTGCTCAGGCTGGGCTCAAATTTGCAATCCTCCTGCCTCAGCTTCCCAGAGTGCTAAGAGGACAGCATTCCACACAACTCCCAGCCTTTCTGGGATGCGCAATGTAGGAAGCTGTCCCACCAGCATTCTGGGAAGCTGAGTGGCATGCACCACCACACCTGGCTCTTGTGGGCTTCTTGAATGCAGGGTGAATGGATATTGACCAGTGGCCGTGCTGCCTTCCTCACACTACGTGCTGCAGGCACTGGGCTAACTTGCCAGGGGATCAGTTCCGTGCCTTTGGCTCTAAATCGAGCCCCTTTGGAGATATATGGAAGCCCTGCTGAATCTGCGTTAGTGGAGCTCTGGGAACAGGTCACTAAGGGGCAGGAGACTGGGGCTGGGGACAGGACCCGGTGCAGCCCCCAGCTTTGCATCTGTCCTGTAAGTGCATCCCCTGGTCCCTCGGCAGGCCCTCTCCTGCTGGCTCCGGCCGCTTCCCCATCCTGGAATTAATAAAGACTCCGCACAGACTGCGGTTTGCAAGTCTGAATGCCGGTTCCTGCCCACGTCACTGCCCAGAGAGGTGTGGGGCCAGGCTCCCCACCAGCATCCCCTTCCTCCTCTTCCCAGGAAGGGAGCAGGGTGCACGCACTCGGCCTTCCTGACCTCCCACAGCCACTGCCCCAGAACGGAGCCTCGATCCTGCCCCAGGCAGCGCCTGCCCACCAGCACCGCTGGCTCAGGGTGCTTCGGGCCCTCATAATCTCCATCAGCGACCGCAGCGCACCCCCAAATGAACACACTGCACAGCAGCTGTACCATGGAAGTGAGTTCCTCTAACTTGTCCCCATCTCCCAAAATTCTGGAGCTACCATGATTGGAAAAGGAGACATTGTCAAGGGTCCCAGGGTGGCCAGGGAGAGCGGGGCCTGGAAACAGAACCATTTGCAGAACTGGTGGTGGCAACAGTAGGGCACCCACACCAGAGGAGTACAGAGCTTTTTCTTTTTTGGTTTTTTTTTTTTCAGTATTGAGGATTGAATCCAGGACCTTCACACTGAGCTATAGCACCAGCCCTTTTTTATTTGATTTCGAGACAAGGTCTCCCTAAATTGCTAAACTGCCCAGGCTGGGATTGAACTTTCAATATTCCTGCCTCAGCCTCCCAGAGTGCTGGGATGACGGGCGTGCGCCACCACACTCAGCCAGCAGAGAGCATTTTTTTATCTGGCTGGCACAGAGCAGAAATAGATGCCACGTTTTATTTACCACTGCAGTCATCTTTCCAGTAAGGGTGTTCGTCAGCATTCCGTGGGCGAGGAGAAGCTGCCCCACTAGAAAGTGCTTAGTCCTAGGTCCAGCTCAGTGCTTAGTCCTTAGTCCTAGTCCACAGCCTGCCTTCACCCCTCCACTCCAGCCACCTGCTCCTGGCTGCATGAGGCACTAAGCCACCCTGGGGCGCTGCAGAAGCGCCCAGGATACTTGGCCTTGACTTTGCTGGCTGGCTGTGACCTAGGGCCAGGAACAAGTTTCCTCTCCTATCTTCTGCCTCCCACATTTCTCTCCCACAAGCAGGGACTGGGAGGGAGTGGGAGGGACGCCCCCACCCCCCACCCCAGGGTCCACCGTCCTCCCCTGGGGCAGGCAGGAAGACTGAGTTCTGCGGATGCTGTCCCAGCTGTCTCAGAGCTGCCGCCCCCTGGTGGCCATGAGCGGAATGGCAATCCTGGGCGCTCCCAGGGGAGCAAAGAGAACCAGCTGTCTGGAGCTCCCCGGGTCTGATCCCGACCTTCATGGAACTCAGTGTTGGGACAGGTGGTGGCTGAGTGATAACAAAGAGGCTGGGCTGTCACCTCCCTGTTCCCCACAGGGCACCTGGAGTCCAACCTGACCTTTGCCAGATACTAACCTGGACAAGGCTGGGTGTGGGGCTGTGACCTCCATCTGTGCAGAATGGAACCTTGGCTTTCAGGGTCCCCTACATGGCCCAGATGCCCCAGGGGACAACACGGACGTGGCCTTCCCTCCTGAGCCATGCTCCTGACCAGAGCACCCAGCCTCAGCCGATGTGACCCCCAGACCTCCTGACACCCTTGCCCCACCTTTGGGAGAAGGCCGAGCCTTGTCCCATATAGAAGGGAGCTGAACCATGTGTCAGGTCCCCAGTCTGTCCCCTGGAGGCCCACTGGGCAACACCACCCCGATCTTGCCTCCCACGCTATTCTGCCTACAGCCCCTCTACCTCTGCAGACCTCGGCCTGGAGCCCCAGACCTGCCCAGCCCCCCACCCCAGCTCGGCGCAGGGCCTGTCTCAGCCAGGCCTAGGGGTGTTGGGGTGTCTGGAGGGCCGGGGTGGGGGCTGAGGCTCGGGACAGCTGGCCTGTGTCCCCACACTGGGCCCGGGGCCCAGCCAGAGAGGCGGGGGCCTGGCCACTCAGGCCCTGGCTGAGGCCAGGATTTTTGGCCGGGCTGCGGGGCCCTCCCTCCCGCTTCCTCTCCCGAGGGCTGTCCTGGCAGAGGCCCCCTCGCACTTTTCTGGCGGGAACACGGCCAGCATGGAGAGAACAGCCACAGAGGGAAAGCGGGAAGGAGATGGAGGAAAGTGTGTGTGTGTGTGTGTGTGCAGGAAGAAGGCCCGCAGTCCAGTCCGACCCAGCCTGGGAGGCTCTCGCCGGCCCTTTCGTAATTGCCCCCTCCCGGCCCCCTCCTCCGCCCGCCCTCCCGCCCGCCCTCTCTCCCTCCCTCCCTCCTTCCCTCTCAGCGACGACCAGGCAGCAATTACGCTTTGGGGATAAAACGAGGCGCAGAGTGCGGGCCGGGCATTCCTCCTCCGGAGATGGCGGGTCTGACTGCGGCGGCCCCACGGCCCGGACCCGGAGCCCTGCTCGCGCTCCCGCTCCTGCTCTGCCTCCTCCGCCCCGCGCAGCCTGGAGGTAAGAGCCCCTTGCCGGTCCCCTGCTGCCCGCAGCCCTCGCAGCCCCTCCGGCCAGGTGCTGGACTGACAGGCTGCCAGAGGAACCCTTCACGCCCCAGCCTCCCGCTCAGCCCCAGGAGTCGCCTCGAGAGCCAGCCCTGTGCTGGAGGAACCTGTCACACAGACGCCCTGTGACTTGGGATGCTCCCTAGCCCTGTCCAGGAGGGCAGCATGGACTTTGCTCCACCAGATCCGCCCCTTACTGCCATTTGGGCTCTGATTGGCCACTTGCACACCTGTGGGGCCAGCTGGGTGCCCGTGCCACCCTGCGGAGCGGGCACCTGTGTTGGAGACCACTCTGCCACAGCGAGCTGTGCAACCTCGGCAGGCTCCCTGTCCCCCAGGAAGTCAGGGTCCCCCTCTGCCGAGGTCAGGGCCAAGCTGATGATGGGCTCGTGGGTCAGAAGGCTGCTGCTGTGACCCGTCCCTGGCAAGGGGCACGGGGAGGCCTGAGTGCGATGCGTGCATGGGCAAGGTGTCATGTGCTGTCTTGCACAGATGGACGCGTGGGCCATGCCCAAACATGTCACTGAGCGGGATGGAGTTTCTGGGAAGGGAGGAAGGTCTGCACATGGCTTCACCCTGAGACAGGTGGACGTGGGGCTGGGGGTCACGCATGAAGTTGCCTGTTCAAGTCAACAGAAGTCTACCAACCTACACGAACGCATGGGAGACTGGGAGTCCAGAGTGTCCCAGGTGTGGGCTGTCACTGAGCGTGTGACCAAGTGTGGGTCTGTGTGTGAGCAAGTGTGATATTGATGAGTACAATCGAAGAAATTGGAGCTAGGTGGCTTCAGGCGGGGGCGGGAGAGGACCTCGGGGTGTTGCTGTGTGTGTGCCCTGACTGGGAGTGGCTGCTTGGGGCCAGGTGGGGCCACAAGGTGCATCCGGCTGTGGGAAGAATGGGAAGGGAAGTGCAGGCTTGAGAGCCATCATGGGGCGGAGGGGCGGGGGGGTCTGGTTGTCACGGGAGTGCACCGAGCCCTTAGACCAGATCTAGCGTGGAGGGCAGAAGGGTTTCAGGACTGAGCAGGGCTGGAGTCCGACCAGGGCTGCAGCATCTGTTGCTCCCATGAGGCTGACCTGCAGGGCCGGCTGCTGGGAGCAGGAGTCACCCAGCTGGGTCCGCTCCTGAGTTTGGAAGAGGCCGAGGGATGTGGGCACCAGCGCCTCCAGGCCGTCTGACCCTCCTCTCCCAGCGTGACCCCAACTCCTGCCGCCCTTCCCAGAAGGCTGCCACCTATAGAGGAGCACCAGGGATGACCACCTGGGGTTGGGGGATGGTGGCGTTCGGGGAGACTTGGGACGACATCTGGGGAGGGGCAGGCCTGGGCATTGTCCTGAAGGGAAGTGACCCTAACCTGTGGCCTTGGTGACAGTGCTTAGCCCCCAGCTGGCCAGGCCCTTGCAGAGAGGAGTCTTGGTTCTGGCCCAGATGGCCAGACTCGCTGGGTTCAGATCCGGGACATGTGGATTGGGGGGGTCTTGGGCTGTGCACAGGACACTCTGGCAGCCCCCCATCTGGCTGTCCTGGGGGATCCCAGCTTCCCCACCCAAGCTTCAGAGTCAGTGGGCTGACAATGGCACTTCCTGGGGAGAGCACCTGCCCCAGCCCCCTGTACGCTTTAAAGGGGGAGCTGGTGACATTAAACCAGGTGTCCTGCTTTCCCCAGCCTTTTTCTGATTTCTGAGCTGGAGGTGGTTTGGATGAGAGCCATGGGGGGAACGCTGAACAATTGCGACATAGGGGTCACCGTGCTTTGTGCTGGGCAGGGAGGTTTTTTTTTAAGCTCCCCAGGTGTCTGATGAACCGCCAAATCCAAGCAGCTCAGCTTCAGACATTGACCCAGCCCCATCTGGCTGCTGGGACCTCAGCAGGGGACAAATATGCCCCTGTGTGGGAGGGGACAGTCACCCACGAGGACAGATTGTTTTTGAAAAGCCCTTGGCAGCCCGCCCCATGCAAACAACAAACAGCTTCGTGAGCTCTTATCTGCTCCCCAGGCCAGTCCTGGGCTTTGGCTTGATGAAGCCATTGCCAAGGCCCGCCAGGCGCTGTCACCCGCAGCGTCCCAGATCTCAGAGCGAGGGGCAGAGGGCCCAGCCTGTGACCAGGGTCACTGCTGGTCCCAGACCTGACGCTCTTCCCGCTGGCTCTTGGTTCCCCCAGCTGCAGAATGAGAAGAAACAGCCCTGCCCCGTGCACCCACCTCCCAGGGCCAGCAGAGTCTGCAGCCCCGACGCGCCTGCCAAAAATGTGTCAAATATGAGAACCGTGGGAAGGTTAATTTGCAAAATGATATATTCTCTCATTTGGAATGTGCTAACTCTGGCTGTAACTCATTTCCAGGTTTAATTTCTAAGGTCTAATTCTTCCTTTTGGGAGCAGCTGATCTATAAATAAATGTGCAGTGATGGAGGAGGAAGACAGAACCAGGGGAAGGGGTGGCCTTAAGGAGCCTCGGGAAATCCAGGAAGGCTTCCCAGGGAAAGGGACATTTGAGTTAGACATGAAAGAAGGGGCTGTATTTGAGAGGCTGTCAGTAAATGGGAGGAAAGCCTCGGGTATAGGGTTCTGGAAGGTAGAATTGGGGATAGAGGAGTAGATTCCACTTCCACGGAGCTAAAAAGCAATGTTAGGTAATGAGTTCCCCAGCATGGGAAGTATGCAAGCAGAAACAGGAGAATGTTTGTAAAAGGAGATCCAGCCCAGGCCAGAAGACTGTTATGATTCCTGCAAGTCTAGGATCATGATTCTTAGATCCAAGAGACAAGTTCCACCCTGGGCTAGTGGGTAGAACAAGCCAAACCCACATAAAACAAGACAAGCATGTTCCAAGCCAGCTGCTTGGGGCTGGCGGAGGAAGACCCCAGGGCTCAGAGAAGGCAGGAGGGAGGCTGAGCTCAGTGTGGACGCTGGGTAGGGGGTAGAGGGAGGTGGGCAAGGTGCTCCTGGCTGAGGTGGGGATGCAGGTGACCTGCTGGGCACAGCGAGGGGGTCTCCAGCTTTTCAGTCTGTCTGTGGACTCATGTTTTATTCTAACCTCCCCTGCACTGCCCTTGAAAAGAGTCAGGCAGGGACCCTCTGTGGCCACCCGGCCCTCCCGTGTGCCCTGAGCATGATGGCCATGGGGCTTCGGGCTTGGAGCGGGGCCGGTTGGTGTGAGCAATGGGCATGGCCAGGGAGAAGAGCCATGCGAGGGCGGAGACAGAGTCTTCTGTCCCCCCAGGCAGGGTGCAGGAGCGGGAACCCAGTGAGGAAGAAGGGTTAGCCGGGCCAGGGGGTGCTAGGTAGCTCAAAGGGGGAAGGCAGCTGGGCAGCTGCCGCCAGAGATTAAACTGGGTCAGACCAGAGGCACAGGCAGCCTCCCTGTGTCTACCTTCTTCACCCATCGTCACTGAGCACCTACTGTATGCCTGGCCCTGAGCTGTGGGCTGAGCAGAGAAAATGGAGATGCAGGTCGCCGGTATTTTGTTTTCTTCAGCAATTGCTCTGTGCCAACTATGTACAACCTCTCACCCGAACACTTGCAATTGTACAAGTCCGTGAGAATCAGGTACCTGTGGTAAAAAAGGAAAATGAGGCTCAGAGAGGTTGCATGACGGGCCTGAGGTCACACAGGTGGTAAGATGCAGCGAAGCCAGGGTTAGAAGCCAGGGGCGCCTGTCCTGAGACCCTTGCTCTCCCCACCCACCACACTGTTCCCTGCTCTGGAGCTAGAGAGCAAGGGACAAAGGGCTGGGAGGAAAGAGGGATGGAGGCTGAGGCAGGAGGATGGAAAGTTCAAGCCCACCCTGGGCAACTTAGTGATCTGGTGAGACCCTGACTCAAAGTAAAATAAAATTAAATTAAAATAAAAAGGGCCGGGGATGTAGCTCATTGCAAAGGCCCTGGGTTCAATCCCCAGTACCTAAAAGAAAGAAAGAAGAAAAGGAAAGAAAGAAAGTGCTGGAAAGAGGCAGCAGCAGAGAAAGATGCATGAGACAATGCTGGAGCTAGAGCCAGGAGCGGCATCAAAGGCCCAGCAAGCCGTGTGTGGGTTTGGCAGCTGATGACAGGCCAGCGCACTCACTGGTTCCCAGCAGGCCCAGCCCCTGGGGCCGCCGAGCCGAGCCCTGGGGCTCTGACCAGATTTCATGTACTGCAGGCCTGGGCTGCCACCCCCAGGGCTCAGGGCTTTGGCGTGGGGTGGGCAGGACAGCCGGGCATCCCCAAGCCCGCTGGGCTGCTGCTGAGGCCAGTGAGGCCCATGACCATCAGGCCCAGCTGCACTCTGTCGCCAGACCTCGGAGGCCAGACATCTGGACACCCTGCAAAGCTGTAAGACTCTGTCCCCCAAACCGTCAGGGCACCATGGGACTCCCTGCCCCCTGCAGCAGGGCAGGGCAGGGCCATCGGCAGGGTTGGGGGCATTCTGTGGTGCAGCCTGGGCCCAGTTTGGGACTGAGTCTGGTGCCATGACAACAGTCAGGCCTCAGTCGGGGGCCAGCACCTCACTGGTCCATGGGGGCTGAGCTCGTGACCTTGGCCCAGGAATTAGCTATTCCTTAGGAAACTATTCCTTTGCTCATTCACAGTGTCCAGCTCCGGGGCCCAGCACCTCCCACAACAGCCCTGTGTCAGATGGCCAAGACCCCACCCAAGGGTGGCTGCCCGGTGGCTGAGGACACTGACCCCACACCGTCCTATCAGTGTGGGAATGGCTGTGCCAGCGCCGGCAGTGGCTGCGCTTCCTTGCTGTGGTTGTCACAGCCCCGCCTGGCCTCCCTCAGCTCTGGCTTCCACCAGTGCTGCCCACCCCAGCCCTTGCCCTCAGGGAGGGCTGTGCAGCACTCCGCCTGCTGTCATTCCCGGAGGTGCGGCCTGAGTTGCAGCCACGCTCCACCTCCTCCCAGCTGTGTGGCCCCAGAGGCTTCCCCTAACCTCTCTGAGCCAGACTTCACATCTGTGAAAACTGTGGTCATAATCCCTGTCCTTGCAACCTCACAGGGCCACTTGGAGAAGTAAGAATGAGAAAATGCAAACATTGGACTGCCAGAATTCTGGGAGGCTGAGGCAGGAGGATCGCAAGTTCAACCTCAGCCTGGGCAACTTAGTGATTTAGTGAGACCCTGTCTCAAAATTTGAAAAGAAAATTTTTTTGAAAGGCTGGGGATGCAGTTCAGTGCCAAGGCCCTGGGTTTGATCCTAGTACCAAAAAAGGGGGAAAAAAAAGGAAGGAAGGAAGGAAGGAAGGAAGGAAGGAAAGAGAGAGAGAGAGAGAAAAGAAATCTGGTCCACAGAAATTGCTTCTTAGACAAACAATATGATTATCATTATTAGCATGGTTACCAGGTTTTATGAGCCCTGGCTAATGGTAGATTCTGCTGGCTTCCTTCCAGGGGTCCCAGGGGTGGTGCCCGGTGGTGTGCCTGGTGGCATTCCCGGAGGCGTTCCTGGAGGCGTCTATTATCCAGGTGATGTACACGGTGCCCCTAAGACGTGTCCCTGCCCCTGGACACTGCAGAAGACAAGAGTCATGCCTACCTAGAAACTCCATCCCCGGGAACCTGTGTCACAGGCACAAGGGCAGAAAGATTCTGAAAGATGAAACAAGATCCCCCAGCTGTGGGGGATGGGCGCTCTGTCAGAAGATCCGCAGCCTCCTGGCCACTAATCCTGCTCCTGGCAATTCGCTTTGCTGGAAGCAAATACTTGCAAAGGAGAGAAAAAGAGCAGTCAGGCTCATAGGAGCATTATAAAAACTTCTCTGATTGGAGGATGGGATTAAGTGAACTCAACACGGGCAGCTATGAAGAATTATGATTTTTTTTTTGCCACTACTGGAGATTGAACCCAGAGCCTCCATCCTGAGCTGCATCCTTGGGCCTTTTTAAAAAATTATTTTTTAGGGCTGGGGATTTAGCTCAGTGGTTCTGCTGCCTGCCTTGCAAGTGCAAGGACCAGAGTCCAATCTCCCCTACCAAAAAGTATATATATTTTTTAAATTGCTAAGTTGCCCAGGCTGAGCTCAAACTTGAGATCCTCCTGCCTCAGCCTTCAGTGGAGTGTTTTTGAAGTAAAAGGAATATAAAAGCAATGACTGTGCAAATGGAGATTGGGAGCCCCTGGCCTGCCTCTGCCAAAAGAAAATAGGCAGGACTTTGGGGCAATGGTACTGGGAAGGGAGCATTTTTTCTTCTAATTTAAAAAAAGGATGATATTCTCAAGTAGATTAAAAATGAAAAGCAATGTTTTTAGTACTTAAAAGTACTAAAATAGACACAAACTGGCACGGAGCTATTGACTGAGACAGACTGGGAAACTGAGGCTCACAGTTTGACCCACCCAAGGGCATAACCAGGAGGGATGGATTTGACCATGGGAGGAGGGAGGGTGGCCTGGAAGGGAACTGATGGTCTGTCTGTTTGTCTGTCCGTGGCCTGTCTGTCTCTCTCCCTATTCTCTATCACAGGGGCTGGTCTTGGAGGCCTGGGAGGAGGAGGTGAGCTCATGAACCAAGCACTTGATTTGGCTCTGGGTGTCATCTCAGTCCCCACCCAGGGTCCCCAGAAGTTATGGGTCTCCCTGTTACAGCTCAAGCATCCTGAGCGTGGGAAGAGCCCTGTCTGAGAACCAGAGCCAGGCCCCTTGGCCCCCCAGGGTTCCCCCTGGTGGCCCCTGCTTTCAGATTTCTTTGGATCTCACAAACACCCTCTGCCAAGCTGGCAGAGCACAGATCTTCCCTTCTGAAAAAAGCTGAGCCACAAACCTGGGCAGGGCTGGGCTCCCAGTGGCTCAGTGTGTGAGGATGAGGAACCCCGATCCCCTCTTAGCCCCTCAGGGTGGGGTGGGGAGATAGTAAGACAGGGTGCTGCGGCTCCCCATTCACCACCATCTCTTCCTTCTACAGGACTGGGACCTGGAGGGAAGCCACCCAAGCCAGGTACAGGGAGGGCCTGGCCAGGCAGGGGGTCTGGGAGGGGCCCTGCAGGGCTGTAAGCCGGGAGCCAGGCCAAGAAGCTGGGTGCGGCGACAGCTCCCAGGTATCAGCAGGTGGGGGCCAGGCCCCAGGGCTTCCAGGGACTGGAGGCGGGAGGCAGCTCGAGACCTCCCTTTGTGAGAAACATCCCGCCTCCGCTCCACAAGCGCTGTGACCCCCAGCTCCTCGAGACTGCCTCCTCCTGAGCACAGCCTCAGCAACAGCCTGGCCCAGAAGCAAAATTAGACAGAGGCCCGGCATGGTGGTGCACGTCTGTGATCCCAGCACTGAGGAGGCTGAGGCAGGAGGATTGCTATGAGTTTGAGCTCAGCCTGGGCTATCTATCAAAACCCTGTCTCAAAAAAAAAAAAACAAAATGGAGCTTGAGGTCCCAGTGGCCACCAGGCCTTAAAGACGAACTCCACACCCTCGATCTCAGACAGCCTTGTCTACTGTGGGTCAAGGCCCCAGAGAGCCCTGACCTTGATGCTAGTCTGACCCCAGACCAAGCCCTGAACTCAACCCCAGGCTGAACTCTGACCCTGGCCCCTGGGGCACGGAGATCACCATCAGCTCAGGAAGCTCACAGGGCAGGGAGGAGGCCCTGCTGACAAGGAGCAGGTGGACGTGGCGGCATCTCTGTCTGGATTTACAGCCCCTCGGAGTGAAAGGCTCCACATGTGCTCCGGTGCCCCACCCCCAGTCCTGCCTTGTGGCCAGGGTCTGCAGCCCCAGACTGTGGGACGGGACGCTCGCTGGATGTCCAAGAGCTCTTACGAAATCCCTGTGGTCCATAATCCAAGTGCAGATGGATCTGTGGGACCAGATTCCCAGATTCGAGCAAGCCTGGCTGTTGTGAAACCCCAGCCAGCAGCAGGGGGAGGTGGGGGGTGGAGCGCCCAGGCCAGGGGCTCCTGGGGTTGGCAGGGTCTGCAGAACCAGGAGAGAGGGGGTCCCTGCTTCCGCCTTCCTGGAGGGATAGACAATTGCACACAGTCTCCAGCTGGGTAGCGGCTGAAATGAAGTATTTAGTATTAAAGACAGGTTAGACTCCTGAAAGAACCTCCAGCTCGAGGCAAAGGAGTAGCCCCTAAGGAAAGTCAAGGGATCAAGTGATCACCTTCGGATGAAGAGAGGGCCGCAAAGAGGCAGGGACTGGCTTCTGTGACCTCACTGAGGTCACCTTTCAGCCTCAGGATTTAGCAGAGTCCCCGTGGGTCCCCAAGGAAGCTCCCCACCTCCAGGTGGCTGGGAGGGAATGTCTGGGCCTGCCCAGGCAGGACAGGACTGGGCACAGGCAGCGCGTGTCACGCTTGGGAACAATTAATCCCTCAGTGATACAGTGGGTGGCCTGGCAGCTGCTGCTCCACGTGGGTCCAGCAGGCCGGCCCTGCCCAGGCCAGGCTCTCAGCAGAGGCCACACAACTGGGCACCGCCCTCCTGCACCCCCAGCACCAGCTGGAGGCCGGCTGCCCCCAGGAGGGCGGTGGACACAGCAACCTGGCAGCCGCATACACTGGGCACTTTAATCTCACCAGCTTGCTGGGCCCGGGAAGGTAGGAACATAATGACTGCTTATAGATGGGGAAACTGAGGCTCAGGGAGGCAAATGAGTGGCTTCTACTCTCAGAGAATGAGGAGAGCACAGGGTCTGAATGTAGAACTTCCTGTCTCTGGGAAGAAAGGGGGTTGGGCTGCCAAGGTCCATCTGTGGTCAGCTGGTCCCCTCTCTCCTCCTTTGCAGGCGCCGGGCTGCTGGGGACATTTGGGATCGGTGAGTCCAGGGGAAGGAGGGCGGCAGGGTTGGAGCAGTCTGGGTGCCACTGTGGAGAAAGGGCCGATCCCCCCACTCTCGCCACTTCCAGTCCAGTCCCATCCTCCCTTCCCAGTCTCTCTGTGGACAGGAAAGGTCTGAGAGTGTCCCTTGTCCCCTGGGAGTTCAGGAAACAGGATGCAGACAGAGCTGGGAAGTGGCCAGGGCAGCCCCGGGCCTAGGCACTGCACCATCCTACCTCGGCAGTACAGGCCATCTGACAGAGGGTCTGCCCCAGCTTCCCCCAGGCCCAGGTCACACCGAGGCCAATGAATGGGGAGGGCTGACTGGAGGCAGGGAGCCAGAGAGAGACCTCTGCAGGGCTCTGCAGGCTCCAAGCATGGGGTCCTCCAGGAGGGGTCACTCCTGGGGCTCAGGACCCTAGCAGCGAGGCCTGGTGCTGTGGGAGGGGGGCTCCCGTAGTGTGAAACAACTCGGTGCTCATGGGGCTTCCTGTCTGCGTGTGGACAGACGGTGGGGACAGAGGACCTCCCAGACCCAAGTGACGAACAGGGAGGGGGCTGAGTCTAGGGAGAGGCCAGGGTGGGGGTCAAGGCCGGGCCTGGTGGGGGTCCTCCCTGCACCCCTCCCTGCTGAATGCCCCAAGCTGGCACACTCCAGGAAATGCCAGGCCCGACTCCGCTTGCTAGGGAGCCAGGCATCACCCTGTTTGCATGCTCAGAGACCAGCTAGGGGCCCGCACGCCAGCTCCTCCTCACCTGCTCCCTCTTCACTGCAGGTCCTGGTGGCCTCCCTGGTGGTGCCACCGCCGGGGCAGGTGAGTAACACCTGGGTCAGATGCCCCACTGGGGGCAGCTCTGAGCTCAGCCTGGTAGGCAGGGCAGCTAGGGTACAGGTGCTGCCCTGGGCACAGACAGGGCAGGGATACCACCTTCCCCAAGCAGCTGTCCTGGGCACACAGTGTCCTGGCTGGGGGTTGGGTACGGCTATATCCTAGTGACTCAGGCTGCAAGAGGCTCTGGGGGCCATCGGCTCCCAGGACACGTGCTGTGGGAGGTGGGTGGGTGTGTGGCCCCAGAGCCCAGGCACCCTGACCTGCACCACCCCATCTGCCTGCCAGGCACCACTGCACCAAGCCTGGCACTCTTCAAAAGAGACCCCAACATGTCCCAGGCAGGCAGCGCCCAGCAGTCAGGGACTCGGCAGGTTCCATGAGTGTGGTGGCTCAGGACCTCACTCTGTCCCCCTCTGCAGGGATCGGGGCCTTTCCTGCAGGCACCTACCCGGGGGCTCTGGTGCCTGGCGGAGCGGCTGGTGCTGCTGCTGCTGCTGCTGCTGCTGCTTATAAAGCTGCCAAGGCTGGTGAGTGGGGTCTTTGGGACAGGCCACAGCCCCCACCCTGGCTTCCTTCCGTGGGCGGCAGGGGCAGAGTCCTCCCCCGCATCTCAGGAGCCAGCTGGGTGTGTCCCAGCCACAGTGGGTGGGTAGCAGGGCCCCAGTGCACAGCCCACCCCTTTCTCCTCCTCCTTGCTGTCCCTGCACGATCCCACCCACCCCCTCACCGGTCCTGGCTCTCCAGGGGCCGGGCTTGGTGGCATCGGAGGGCTTGCTGGTGTTGGCGGAGTTGGCGGAGTCGGAGGACTTGGTGGCGTTGGTGGCTTAGGAGTGTCTACAGGTATGGTGGCCACACCTGAGTCCCCTAGGTGATGCCCCAGGCCAGGCGGAGCCCTCTCTAATGCCCTCCTGTCCTGGCCAGGTGCCGTGGTCCCTCAGGCCGGAGCAGGTGTTGGAGTAGGAGCTGGAGGGAAGCCAGGGAAAGTTCCAGGTCAGTGTAGAGTCACTGGGGCTGGGGAGCAGAGGTCAGGGAAGGACAGGGGTGCCCCATGGGGCTGGGGGAGGAAGGGCAGAGCAGGTGACATCCAAGCCCAAAACACCGTCCTGTTCTGTGAAACGGAACTGGAGCAGGAAGCAACCTCAGAGACAAGCTCTGTGGCAGGCTGTGGGGTGACAGATGAGGAAACTGAGGCTCAGGATGGCCTCAGGATGGTCAGAGCGGAAGGCCTGCAGCTGCTGGCAGCCGGGGCGCCGCCCCCCCACCCGCCCATCTGGTGCTCATTCGGCTATACCCAGCCCTTTAGGAAGTGACTTCAGGTTAAACAAAAGGCTGCCTGGGTCCGCTGAGTCCTCGCAGCAGGAAGGACATCTGGAAGCTGTTAGCAGAGGTGGGCTGGCTGGGGTGCCGGGTAAACAGGCTCCCGGAGACAGAGATAAATCCACACACAGAGGGTTTGCAGATGACTTCGGAGACTCGTGGGAGGAGGCCTCGGCCACCCTGTGTCTGCCCAGTGCCCCAGGCAGCACAAGGGCCGCTGACTTGGGACCCCTGGTGGGAAGGCAGGAGGGGCCCCTGGCTCAGCTGCTGATCATGGCTCCTCCTTCCTCCTCTGACTCCAGGTGTGGGGCTCCCAGGTGTGTACCCAGGTGGAGTGCTCCCAGGCACAGGTGAGGACGGGAACGGGGATAGAGCAGCCCCTGGCTTCTCCCCACACCCACTCCTCCCCTCAAGCAGAGGCCACAGGAGGCCTTAAGTCCTAGCCAGTTGCTGTTTTCCTAAGGGTCAGGGTTCAAGTGAATGGTCATAAGGTCCCTGGCATCAAAGGCCAGCTTCTGCCAGGCATGGCGGTGCATGTCTGTAACCTCAGCAATCTGGGAGGATGAGGCAGGAAGATCAAAACTTCAAGCCCAACCTGGGTAACTTAGTGACTTAGTGAGGCCCTGTCTCACAGTGAAAAAGGGCAGGGAATGTATCAGTGCAAAGGCCCTGAGTTCAGTCCCCAGTACCACACACACACACACACACACACACACACATACACACACACACACACGTCCAACTTCCCCTGGTTCCAGGCCCAAACTCTAATCCCAGCCTAAGGTGGGTACCCAAGGGCACACTGAGTCCCCAGTGTAGCCAGCTGTTTCCCAAAAGCACTGAGTCACCAGGGGCGTCTGCCCAGCGAGCCCCTCAGAGCTGCCCCTTGCTGGCCTCTCCCTGCCAGGGCAACCACCCCGCCCTACACATGACCTCCTGAAATCCCCCAAAAGTCCAGATCCAGGCAGCTCTGTGGGATTTGCTGACACAGTCGCTCCCTCTCCTGTCCCTGGTGGAGGCCCAGGGGAAGTGGGAGAGATGGAAGATGCTGGTGGAGGATTCCAGGCGCAGTGCGGGGTGGGTCCCAGGGCCACGGCGCAGCCCATAGCTCTGGCTTTGGATGCTGGTGCTGTCTCTCCTGAGGGTCATCAGGACGGTTTTATAACACAAACTGAGAAATACGATTAAAACAGGTCTGAGGTGGACATGGTGGCCCACGCCTGTGGTCCCAGCACTCAGGAGGCTGAGGCAGGAAAATCACCAAGAGTTCGAGGCCAGCCTGAACTACACAGGGAGACCCTGTCTCAGAAAAACAAAACAACAAGGCCAGGGATTTAGCTCAGTAGTTCTGACACCTGCCTCGAAAGTGCAAGGGTCCAAATTCGATCCCCGGTACCAAAAAAAAGAAAGAAACTCACAAAAGAGAAACAAAACAACGACACAACAAAATAGATCTGACCTGGGCCAGGGATTTAGTTTTGGCACCTGCCTCGCAAGCGCAAGGTCCCGAGTTCGATCCCCAGTACCAAGAAAAAAAAATAGATCTGACTTTAGCCCAGGCAGCCAAAGAAAGTCCCCCCCACCAACTAGGTCCTTTCTCTGCCTGCCCCATGACATGGCCCCGTCGCTGGCAGTCAGTATGGAAGGGGAGCCGCTGGGAACCCAAGGCAGTGCCAAGTGGGGCCTTCATACCCTCTCTGCCCTGCCCCTTTCTGCTCAGGAGCTCGCTTCCCTGGAGTAGGGGTGCTCCCTGGAGTCCCCACTGGAACTGGAGTCAAGGCCAAGACCCCAGGTATGCATCCGCTGAATGGGCCCCAGGTGGGGTGTGGGGTGTAAATGGGGACTCTGGGCTCATTCGGGGCCCTCTGAGTGAGCACGTATGGCAAGGAAAGACAGCGTGCTGTTCAGAAACCCCACAGAGTGTGTGAGGCCACACGAGGCGTGGTCTGGGTGGAACTGCCTGCCCCTCCTGCGGGGTGATGGTACCACTGTGCCAGAATGACAGTTCTTTATCATTGCAGGTGTAGGCGGAGCTTTTGCCGGAATCCCAGGTGAGGCGAGGCTGTTCCTCTCTGCAGGGTGGGAGAACTAGCAGGTGGCCCACCAGTCAGGGGCACCTGCCCTGGGCCGGGCTGGGCACCCAGAAGCCCACGCAAACTGCCCAATCCCCATGTCTCCTGCTCTGGGCCTTGAACTGGCTTCAGCACAGAGTGGCAGGAATCACAGGCCCAAACCCACCAAACACACCCAGGGAACCCATCCCTGTGCCAGGGGCTGCAGGGCTGCAGGGCTGCTGGCCAGAACTCCAGGGGAGAATCCTGCAGCTCCTTGGAGGAGGTGACCTATGGCTGGGCAGTGTAGGGAGGACCTCAGGGAGCAGAGAGAAGCGCATGCATCTGAGCAGAAAGCCAGTGGCAGGCAGAGGTTTAGAAGGAGCTGCTGGCCCACAGAGCTTGGCCTTCACTTGCTCTTTGTTCCCATAGGGGTCGGGCCCTTTGGGGGCCAGCAGCCTGGGGTCCCCCTGGGGTACCCCATCAAAGCGCCCAAGCTCCCAGGTGAGTCGGAGGGAAATCAGCTTTGGGGACTTGGGCCACAGATGTCTCTGGAACTAGGGTAGATGGGGTGGGGAGGGGAATCTTGGGATTGAAGCTAATTCTAGTCACCTGCCTGGAAAACATGGGGATATAGCCTGCGGGTGTAAAACCACGCACACACATATCCACACGCACACCTATGCACAGACCCATGTCCTGATGGGAGACCACAGGTAGTGATAGTCAGAAGGACCATGCAAAGCAGGCGTGGTGGTGCACACCTGTAATCTCTGCCCTCTGGGAGGCGGAGGCAGGAGGATCAAAAGTGCAAGCCCAGCCTGAAAAACTTAGTGACTTAGCAAGCTCCTGTCTCAAAATAAAGAATTTTAAAAAGGGCTGGGGATATAGCTCAGTGTGAAGGCCCTAGTTTCAATCCCCAGTACCACCAGTACCACAAAAGAAAAAGAAAGAAAAAAGAAGGAGAGAGAGAGAGAGAGAGAGAGAGAGAGAGGGAGGGAGAGAGGGGGGAAAGCGATGCATTGGAAGTCCCTCCTGAAGTCGAATTCCTGTTGGGAAGTGCATGAGGAAGCTACTCAGACCCTAGGGCCACAGCAGGGCCAAGATCTGCTGTGGACAGTTGCATCTCTAGGGCTGGGGGTCCACTCTTCCTCTGCCCAGGACTCTGCTCTCCTGGGAACCCCTGGGCCCCTGGGGGTCTTAGCCCCTGTGGGCAGGACTATCACTCCGGGGTGGGGAGCCCAGCAAGGCCTGGGGCAGCCCTGAGCCCACCCTGCCCTCTGCCCAGGTGGCTATGGACTGCCCTACACCAACGGGAAGCTTCCCTATGGTGAGTATGGCCCTTCCAGACCTGGGGCTTCCAACCCCTTCCAGCTCCTGGGCCTGCCAAGGGTGCTGTGGCCCTCTCAATCCACACTTTTGGAACGGGAGTCCCCAAAGGACACAGCATGAAATTCGGACTCAGACGGCCTGTTCTCAGTCCTGGCCTCCCATTTCTCCTGAGGGCCCGAGCAAACCATTTCCCTTCTCCGAGCCCCAGTGTCCTGGGCTGTACAGTGGGAGTAATGATCCCACAGGTGGGGGTGTTTGTGTTCATTCTGACTGGGGTGACGGGAGGCCAGGAGGGGGATCACTGACCTCTGAGTCTCTGTCCTGCAGGAGTGCCTGGTGCAGGGGGCAAAGCTGGTTACCCCACAGGGACAGGTATGGAAGTCCTCACTCACTTCCAGCCAAAGGAGTGCTGGTCACTGTGGCTCCCAAGCCCTGGGGCTGGCCAGGGTCTCCCCTAAAACAGGCCCTGGAGCTAGGGGGAAGATTCCAGAACCCAGGCACTTCTGGCTGTGAAGCCCCTACCCACACCCGGATGTTGATGGAGACTGGACACGGGTGGGCCCTGGAGGTGCCACAGCACCCTCTTCAGTCCCCCTCTCCCTTCTCCAGGGGTTGGCTCCCAGGCAGCAGCTGCGGCAGCTAAAGCAGCCAAGTATGGTAAGAACCTCCGGGGCACCCTGCTAGCCCAGGCCCCCAACCTGGCTGTCCTGTTGCCTATGAGGGCTGCCTCGTGACTGGCCAACCAGGACCCCCCTACGTTCCCATTCATCTAACTTTGTCAACACCATCCACACATGTACCTCTTCCTTCCTCCAACCATTCCTCCCTCCCCGATCTGTCCCTCCCTCTCCCATCCATCCCTTCCCCTTCCTCCATCCCTCCCTCCACAATTCCTCCCCCATTCCTCTCTCCTTCCCCCATCTATCCCATCCATCCCCCTTCCCCTATCCATGATGGTCCCTCCCTCCATCCATCAGTCAGTCCCAGAGATAGCAGATAGCAGCCCATAACAGCCTTGCAAGGTAATGCACACATTGTCATGGGAATCAAGAAGAGAAAGGAGGGCTGGGGATTCAGCTCAGTGGTTCTGCTGCCTGCCTCACAAGCACAAGGTCCCGAGTTCGATTCCCCAGTACCAAAAAAAAAAAGAAGAGAGAGGCATTATTTCTACCTGGGGAAAGTTAGGGAGGCTTCCTAGAGAAAGTAATATGTAATGGCAGCTATAAAATATAGGCAGCATTTGTCATGTGGTGAACACAGAAAGGAGGAGCCCAAGCAGAAAGGACGGGGACCGTGGTGGTTAGGAAGACAATTTGAGGCGGCACCTATACAAGCATTTACATTTTTAATAGTTACACATCAAGTTAATGTGTACTATAAAAATGTAACTCAGTCCTCAAGTCCATGGTGTCTTGGACAGCCTTTCTGCAGATGTGGCATGGCCATCACGTGCCCAAGTGACAGGCAGAGTGGGCATCTATGCCCGGCCCTGGGAAACCCGCCAGCTCAGGATCAGACCACAGGAGGCTAAAGCCCTCTCCTGTCCCCAGTCCCCAGGAGCTCTTCCTGTTTCCAGGCTGGGATGGAAGACCTGTCCCACCAGCCCAGGGGGCAGGAATGAGGGGGACCCGGGCCTGCCCTGCGCAGCTCCCCAGCCCAGGCCCCTTGGCTGGCTGGGCTGGTGGCGAAGCCTGGAATGTGGGAGCAGGCGGGCCCTGAGGGGCTGCCAGAGCAGCATTTGGTTTAGAAACTTGGCCACGTCTTTGGAACACAGGGAGAGGAAGCCTTGAACATTCTTTCAGGGGCCCCTCTGGCCCAGCCCGGGGAGTGGCCACTTGTGGTTTCTCAGTATGTGGCAGTGATTAGAGCCGGATCTGACCGAGAGCATCGGACTCCCTTGCCTTCATGAGCACCGTTGAAATGGACACTTGGGGCGGGGCCCTCCTGAGCCGTGCTGGTTCAGGTTCACACACCTGCCCCCTCCCCAGTGGCCTTCCTTCTCCTCAGGAGGGGCCCTGGGGAGCCACATCGTGCTGCCCCTGTCCCTGCAGGTGCTGGAGGAGCCGGAGTCATCCCTGGCATCGGAGGGGGTGGCATTCCTGGCGGAGCTGGCACCATTCCTGGGATTGGGGGCATCGCAGGTAGCATCATGTCCAGTGAGGGGTGGACATGTCCTTAGGAGGGCCACCAGGAATGGGTCTCATTGCCTGTGGCTGTCTTTTCAGGGGTGGGGACTCCTGCGGCAGCTGCTGCTGCGAAGGCTGCTGCAAAGGCTGCAAAGTACGGTGAGCACCCCCAGCATGGCAGGCCCAGGGCTCAGGCCTGCTCGGGCCTCTGTGTGGGCCCTGGAGACCCGGCCCATGAGGCTGGGAGACTTTGCCTCCATCCACCCGGGCCACTTCCCTCCCACCTCCACAGGCATAGTCCACGCCTCCTTGCCTTGGCCCATTCTCTACCTGAGATGCCACCTCCTGCTTCTGCAGGATGACTCTGGAGGGGACCCTGGGTGTGCCTGCTCTGCCCACCCCATTCCCTGCCTCAGGGCTGCTCTTGAACCCAGATGCCCACAGGCAGGGATTCTGGTTTTGCTTTAGAAGTTGATCACACTCTGCCTAGCCACAGATCTGACCCCAAGAACTCCTCAGGGCCTCTCCTAGTCCCTCCCCACCTCTCTGATGAGTTGGCTCCATGCACCTGCATGTGACCATGTCACCCCATAGCTCCCCTGGTCCCCTGCCCAGGAGGCCTGAAGAGGTTCCCACGGGGCTCAGCAGGAGAACATTCCTTTTCCTTCCTCAGGAGCTGCTGGAGGCCTAGTGCCTGGTGGGCCAGGAGTTAGGGTCCCAGGTGTTGTGGTCCCAGGTGTCGGGATCCCAGGCATTGCAGATGGAGCAGGTGAGCTTGTGTGTGTGTGTGTGTGTGTGTGTGTGTGTGTGACAGAGCAATATAAAAGCTAGTGGCAAGATTTTTGCATGCTCCCCCAACTCTGCTTATTTGCCCACATCCTTGGCCACGATTCATTCCCTCTTCCTCCTCCCATGGATTGTAACAACCTCCCAGTTAGCTGCCACCAGCATCATTGTCCCTGATTTACCTTCTGAGTGTCAGTGCACTTCTGGGGGCAGGAGCTGTGTCTTTTCATCTCCACGTTCCCCGTCCTTGGCTGAGCAGGCGCTCAGTACTAAATGGAGCCAGGTGGGTGGGCAAGTGGGCACCTGGTGGCCAGGTAAGTGGCCATGTGGATGAGCAGGCAAAATGACAGGTGGGGCAGGAGATGGGTAGATGGATGAACAGAGACCAGGATGAGTGGTTCATGGGTAGATAGATAGAAAGGGACAGAGAGATGGAAAAATGAATTGGTAGGAGAGAGACGGATGTGCAGGCAGGGGGCTACATTAGTGGTTAGGAGGATGGATGGATGGATAAAAAGGTGGGTAGAAGGGAGGCAGGCAAATGCAAACTGGGTGGTTGTCTAGATGGCTAAATAAGTGGATGGGTGGGCAGGTGAGTAGATGGTGGACAGAGGTGGGTGGCTGGACTGAGATAAACAAATGGACAGACGTGGAATTGGGAGAGTAGGTAGACATGTCTATCAAGTCCATATTGGCTTGATAGACAGCAAGGTGAAGTAACAGATGGATAGATGGACAGAGGTATGTCCTGGGCATGTTGCCTCCATTGTCTCCTGAGTATTTTTGTCCCCTGATCTCTCTAGGGCCTCTGGGGCCAGCTGCAGCTGCTAAAGCAGCGGCCAAAGCAGCTAAATATGGTGAGTGCTTTGCCCCAGCCTGATCTGGCCTCTCACTACTTACTAGAGAAGGGGAGCAACTTACCCGGGGTCATGGAGCAAGTCCCTGGAGGAGCTGAGCCTGGGGTGGTGTCTCTGCCTGCGACCTCCACCATGAAGCCATGGGGTTGAGTGGCGGGACAGTCCCAGGATGGTTCTCCAGTGGGGACAGCGTCCCTGGCCCTCCTTGCTCTGGCCAGCTGCTCTCAGAGGCGCCCAAGCCTGACTGGGGAGAAACCCATGCTCAGTCTCCCAACCCTTCCCAGAGCACCCAGAGAACAGAGGAGTGGGGTAGACGGAGGCCTCATGGAGGAAGCTGGCCAGGGGCCTGGGCACCCACTTCCTGTCCTCATCGACCAGACCTGGGGGACAAGCGTCCTCTTTCCCGGTTGCCAGCATCCCCCAGAGCCCTTCTGGCCTCTCTCATCAAGGACCCTCCCCTATACTCTCCCCAACAGGGGCCCGGGCTGGAGTAGGAGTCGGGGGCATCCCCACCTATGGGGTCGGGGCCAGGGGCTTTCCTGGCTATGGCATCGTACCCGGAGTCGGGGTCGGACCTGGAGTTGGGGTCATACCCGGAGTAGGAGTTGGAGTTGGAGGTGTCCCTGGAGCTGGCCTTTCCCGTAAGCCTGAGTTTCATCTGGAAAACCGGTGCGGGGCGAGAGACTTTCCCTCTTCTTAGGGCTTCCGAGGGCTCAGGGAGGAGGAGGGGCAGGAGCTGCGGTCCCACCCGGGCACAAACAGGCGGGGATTGGAGGGTCTCATGCCCTCTTGTTTCCTCTTAGCAGCAGCCCAGGCCGCCGCTGCTGCCAAAGCTGCCAAGTATGGTAAGTGGCCCTGCCTTGCCTGTCCCCAAGCCCTGCTGTCCCACAGGACCACTCTTCAAATTCAGGGCAGCTGAGGGGCACACCCCCCTCCCACTCGGGCCTCCAGGGCTGGGACAGCCTGGCCAAGCTGGTCACCTCACCCCGAAACAGCGAGCTCAGGGGCCAGGCAACCGTGCTGTCCTCCCCAACTCCCTGGCCCCAAGAGGCGGGTGCTGGATGCTGCTCCTCTCTCCCCCAGGTGCAGCAGGAGCTGGAGCCCTGGGAGGTCTGGTGCCAGGTGCAGTACCAGGTGCAGTACCAGGTGCAGTACCAGGGGCAGTACCAGGAGCAGTACCAGGGGTAGTACCAGGAGCAGTACCAGGAGCAGTACCAGGGGCCATACCAGGTGCAGTACCAGGTGTGCTAGGCACCAAAGGAGTGCCAGGTGAGCTGGGGCTGGTCCCAACGGGACCCTGGGGGAGGTGGGAGTCAACTAGATCCAGAGACAGGAAGATGGGTTGAAATTTCCCCTAGGGCAGTCCCAAGGGGAGAGCCCGGGTGGGGTCCTGGTGGCCGATTCCTGGCAAGTCCCATCCCTGGTTAGGGGGGCTCAGGGATGTCCTCCTGCCCTGTGGCAGAGCCCTTACTGCCCAGGCTTAGGTGGTCTTCTGTGCCCCTGGGGTCTCTCTAGTTCCCTAGCAGCAGAGGACCTGACACCTTTGGGTTCCCTCGGACTCTTTCTCCACCAGGCAGAGGCCAAGGGGAAGAGATTAAAAAGTGACTGCGACATTTAGTGACACCCTTCCTTGGTTGTTTTTCCCATCAGCAGGTTTCTCATCTGCATTCTTTGTCCTTTCCAGGAGAAAATTCCTCTTCTCAGTTTCCTTAAGAAACAAGCCAGGGCTAGGGTGGAGCTCAATGGTGAAGCACATGCCTGGCATGTGAGAGGCCCTGGGTTCCATCCCCAGTCAGGAAAGAAAGAAAGGGAGAGAGAGAGAGAGAAGCAAAGGGGGGGGGGGGAGAAAGAGGAAAAAAGGGAGAGAGAAAGAAGAAGAGAGAAAGGACAGGACAGGACAGGAAAGGAAAGATCACTTCCTGCTATAATTTGGACACAGGCACTATCAGGATGTTGTAGAATTCGCAGCACCATAAGCAGAAAATTCTGCCATACTTTGGAGAACAATAGTGACACCCCTACCAGTCACTGCTGTCACCGAGGACCTGACTCCCATGAGCTTAGAGCTGCTTCTCGGGGCCACATGGAAACCCCGGCCAGGCAGAGTCTTCCCAGGTGCCAGGGGGAGGCTCAGAGCCAGGCCCGAGCCCAGGCGCCCTCCTAGGCCGGGCTCTGTGCACTGCCCTCTGTCTCCAGCGGGAGGTGGCGTGCACAGAGGGACTTCTGCAGGGACTGCGGGGAGAGATGCTCCATCTTGGGGAAGGGTGCTGGCTGGGGTTGATCCCCTATTTCCTCTCTCCATCCAGGAGCAGGGACCCCAGCAGCTGCAGCCGCTGCTGCAGCCGCCAAAGCAGCTGCCAAAGCTGGCCAGTATGGTAAGCGCCCCCACGTCTGTCCCGGCCCGGGCCCTTGCTCTCAGCTCCCCCTCTTTTCAGAGGTTCGTTGCCTTCTGAGTAGGGAAGCAGCTGGAGCAGGTGCCTGGTGAGCTCCCAGGGCCTGCCTCCCACGCCCTTCCCTCCACCTCCTGGCCAGCGACAGCCTGCCCCCCACCCCGTGACCTCTGTCCTGCTCCCCCTGAGGGCCACCTTGGCAGCCCCAGGCACTCACACTCACACTTCCCTGCTTGTGCGACCCAGCTGTGGGTCAGACCCCGGGCCAGGCAGGGATCTGTGAGCCTGGCCTTGCGATCCTGCAGAAAGCAAGATTGAGACCAGAATCTGTAGGGCTGGTTAGGCCAGGTTCACTTGAATTCCCAATTTCATATACCCAGCAGTCTTAGGAAGTCGGTATCATTGTTCCCATTTTCCAGATGTGCAAGTTGAGTTTCCCCCGACTTCAGTAATTTACCCTATTGTCCCAGATCTAATGGTGATGGAGCTGAGATATGAACTCAGATTTGCCTGTCCTGCAGAGCTCCCTTTATTTTGTTTCTTTTAATTTATTTCATTTTAAAATTTTTTAATTTTTTGCAATACTGGGAACTGAACCCAGCCAGAGCCTTTACACTGAGCTGTATCCCCCACCCTTTTTAAATTTTGTTTTTAAATTTAAAATCTCACTAAGTGGCTAAGTTGCCCAGGCTGGGCTCAAACTTGAGATTCTCCTGCCTCAGCTTCCCACAGCCTGGGATTATAGGCCTGTGCCATGTTGCCTCGCTCAGAGTTCCCCTGACTATGTACCTCTCTCTCCATCACACCCAAGTCCCCAAGGGACTTGTCTCTCAAAAGCCTAAAAGCTCCTAAAATTGTACTCACCTCATCTTGGGGAGGAGCAGTTGGGGCCCATCAGGGGAAAGACAGTGGCCCAGGGTCACACTACAAGGCCATGCTGGGGCCAGGACAACAACCCACAGCTCCTGACTCTGTACTCTGCACTCAAGACCGGGCTAAGGATTCGCCGTGCTCACTTTTGCAGGGTTAGGCCCTGGGGTCGGCGGGGTTCCAGGTGGCATAGGCGTCGGTCCTGGTGGTATCGGTGTTGGTCCTGGTGGCCTTGTGCCTGGTGGTGTTGCCCCTGGTGTCGGCACCGGGCTTGGACCTGGTGGTATTATAGGTGAGGGGCCTACGCGAGTGGACTTTGGGGGGCCCTGAAGCCTCCATAACCACCATCCCTGAACCTCCTCTCCCTCCAGGAGCAGGGACCCCAGCTGCAGCCAAGTCCGCTGCTAAAGCAGCTGCCAAAGCCCAGTACCGTGAGTGCCACATCGCCTCTCTCCTCTCCCCCAGGGCCACCTGTGCCCTCAGACCCGGCCCTCGCATCCTTAGACCCCACACAGCAGGGGGGGGGGGCAGGCTCCAGTCCTGTTTCCCAGTTGCCTGTAACCTCTGGGGCTCTCTCTGGTTGTTGGGAGAAGTAGATGAGTTTCCCGGAGGGAAGAGCAGGATGTAAGGTCAGGAAGTGGGGTACACAGCATGCACCCCAAATGCCAGCCTGTGGTGGGCCTGGGCTAGGGCACCGGGAATCGTAGGAAACCCATTCCTGGGGAGCACAGCGTCAGCTGGAGTCAGGGAGGCCACTACTGAGCTCGGGGTCCGATGTGGTCCCCAGGGTGACAATCTCCCCGCGGGTGCTCCCTGCCCTGCCGCCACTCCATGGCCCACCTCTCTCTGCAGGGGCCACTGCCGGGCTGGGTGTTGGAGTTCCTGGGTTTGGAGCTGGTGCCGGGGTTCCCGGATTCGGAGCTGTGGCCGGTAAGGAGCCTGCTAGGGGCTGGGCAGCTCCGAGGGTGGAGACCCTCCCCAGGACCCCCCACCAGCCCATGGTGCAGCACGTCCTCCATTAGGTGCCCAGCCTCAGGCAGGCCATGCCAGGCCTGGAGCGTACAAGAAGGGATGGATAGAAGGATGAAGAGAGTCTGGCCCTCCCGCACCCCTAGATCAGACTGGCAGTGGCACGTGTAGGTCCAGGAGCCCGGTGCCAGCCGAGGAAGTCAGAGTGGGCTCCCTGGAGGAGGCAGCAGAAGCCCAGGCTTGGAGCTCAGCTGCTGACCCCCTCTCCTTCCCTTCTCCCAGCACCAGGCTCCCTGGCCGCCGCTAAAGCAGCCAAATACAGTGAGTAGAATCCCCACGCTGCCTGCTTCCCTCCGCCTCCCCCTCCTACAGACGGGGAGAGCAGAGCAAAGCGGTTCCCAGGACAGCAGGGACGGCCCTGTCCCTTGCCTGCTAAACCGAAAGCACCTGTCATGTTTCCAAACCCCACTTGGGCCCTGACACGGTCACAGCCCCAGGTGCCACTGTCGCTGGGACTTGGCTGGGCAGCCTCTGCCCTCTCCCCACAGTGGAGTAGGATCGTCTTCCCCATCTGGGTGCTGTCCCCTCCCTGCCTCCCTCTCGGCGTGACCCAGCCTGCTCCAGCCAGCCACCCTCGATGGCATGGCAGACCTGCCCACCCCACCAGCCACTCCGCCTTGGGCAGCCCGGCTGGCCGTGCCCATGCATCTGTCCCCGAGCCCCTCCTGGGAGCCAGCAGGGGGCCTCAGCCAGGGACTCGCCAGCAGCTGGCTCCAGTAGGCTGCTCCACTGCTCGGGGCCTGTTTCCACCTCAGAAAATCCCAGCTTCCTCAGCACCACGCCAGCAGCCCCGCTCACCCTGGCTCCTCTCCCACCCCCGGCCGGCTGCCCAGCCAGCCTCAGTCAGCAGACATTGCCAAGGAAACCGGGCAGTGTCACTGAGCAAAGCAGCTAAGGACTCCGATGGCTCCCAAGCCATTTCCTGGCCCAGGACCTGGAGCCCATGCCTTAACCTCCGCTCTGCCTCTGTGCGCCCATCTGCACAATGCGGGGGGGGCCTCCTTTCTCCTGGCAGTGCCTGGAACTGAGGGTACCAGTGAGTGACAGCTGTCAATCACCCGCTACCACTCTTGGCAGTTCTGCACTGGGCCAGGATTCAGAGCCTGCAGAGTTCTCAGGCTGTGTCCTTCTGTTCACAAACACCCCTAAGGCAAGCAGGGAGGTGGGGACTCTGGGCTCGGAGAGACCACAGCTAGGACTCATAGAAAAATCAAGACTCAAACTGAATTTGAACCCAGGGCTATCAGAATCAGAGATGTGTGGTCTGAATTCAGCAGCTCCCGGCCACTGCTGTTACCTGGCCCACTGGCCCAGGGACAAGGAGGTGATCATGCCCTGTTAGAGAGGAAGAGGTCAAAGCCTGAGGGGCATTGATTTGGCCCTGCACTAAGGGCAGAGCCAGGACTCAGCCGTGGATGTTCAGGAGAGGACGTCCTGTCTCATGCTCCTCCTGCTGGGTCACAGGGCCTCTGCCACCTGTCTGCTTGCCTTGTGTCCCACCCTCCTGAAATGGGGGACCAATCCTTCCTCCTCTGTCCACAGGAGCAGCAGGGGCTGGGGCTCTTGGAGGACTTGGAGCTTTTGGAGGACTGGGGCCTCTGGGCGGACCCGGGGCCCTGGCAGGAGCAGGTATCCCTGGTGGTGTGGCAGGTGAGTTTCAGCCCCAGGATAGCCTGGGCAGGGAGGGAGACAGACCCACAAACAGTCCCTCCCTGTGCTCCCTCTGTGTCCCCAGGCATCGGGCCTGCTGCCTCGGCTGCTGCCGCCAAAGCTGCCCAGTACGGTGAGCACTGGCTGGGACTGGGAGGGCTCTGACCAGGCCCCTGGGCCCTGTGTCCCTCTAAGGCTGCTCTGTCCCTCTGCAGACAGCCTCAGGCATGGTTCTCAGCAGGCGGGTTTAACACCCAGCTCTCTCCACAGGCCTAGGGGGTGCCGGTGGGCTCGGAGCCGGAGGGCTGGGCGCTGGAGGACTGGGAGTTGGAGGACTGGGAGTCGGGGGACTCGGAGCCGGAGGACTGGGCGCTGGTGGACTTGGGGGTGAGGCTGCCTAGGGATCGGAGAGCACTGTGTGTAGCGTGTGCATGAGTGAAAGAGAGGCAGAGGCAAAAGAGACAGGGTTTCTCCCCATCCTGGACACCGGCCCAGCCCTTCCGAGCAGGAGGAGGAAGGACCTGGCATTGGCTAGGACAGGGCCAGGCGCTGGGCACGCTGGGGTACCCGGGAGCCCTTCTGAGGCCAGGTCGGGGTTCTTCTCCAGGCTTCTTGGCAGGCACACAGTCGGTTCCTCCAGAGACCCTTTCTGTGGGCACCTTCTCCACCCTGGGCTCAGGCTGACCCCGTCACCCTGCCTGCCCCAGCCCCCTGTGTCTGTCCCGAGCTGCGTGGGCTGCGCCTTCTCCTCCGGGTCCCTGGTCCTGCAGCGCTGTTTACGCAGGGGCTTGAGTGAGCAGAGGCAGCTATCCCTCACAGAGCCCCGTTCCTGTCCTCTCCCCTCTCTTTCAACCCACTGGCCACTGGGTGTGGAAGTTCACTCATTTTCCAAGCAAGCCAATCAAAGGCTGGAGAGAAATCACTTTCCCAAAGCCTTCATTGTGGTGGCTCGGTGCTGACACTTCCGTCTCCCTTGGGTGGTCACTGGGTAACTTGAACTGGCCCTCAAGCCTCTTCCTGCGTGTTCTGAGAGGCTGGATGCACAGTAGTAGTTTAATAAAGGCCATCAGATGGTGGGTGCAGGAGGGCAGGCAGGGAGTCCGGGGCCATTCCTGAGCCCTCCTGTCCCCCACTTCTCCAGGTGTGTCCCCAGCTGCAGCTGCTAAAGCAGCCAAATACGGTGAGTGGCCCCTAAGGTCTGTCCCGCCCAGGCCTTGTGTCCTCCGTCCATCCCCTGACCCACCGGGTCCTGCCTGTGGCTGCCCGGGACATCTTCTCCAGGCTTCTCTGACCCAGCGCTGGGGTGGGGGTGTCAGGGCCCCCACCACTGTGCCTCGTCCTGACTGATCCCTGTGTGCCCTCTCCCTAGGTGCTGCTGGCCTGGGTGGGGTCCTAGGGACCATTCCCAGGCCACTCCCAGGTGGTAGGGCCGGCTCTGTTGCATAATCCTCAGTCCCACCAGGGGCCGGCAGAGGGGGCTCCCAAAGGCTGGGGAAGGGCAGGGCACCCCGAGCAGAGGCTGTGCCCGTGGGTGCAGAGCTGAGACAGGGCACCGGATGCTGGTGGGGCGGATTTAGTGAGAAGCCTGGCTCCAGGGGGCTGGGATGGAGGCGATGCCACACTGAGAGGCCCTCTGACAAACAGAGTGGGGCCTGCCTCCCCCACCAACCCCAACCCCAAATCTGTCCTGCAGGTGTGGCACCCAGACCTGGCTTTGGATTGTCCCCCATTTACCCAGGTACACCAGCACCCCTGTCCTGAGCTCCGACTGGGTCTTTCCTCCTCCTGGGCTGCATCCCCCCAGGGCCCCCAAGACCTCAGATCATGTGAAGCCGGACCCCCAAGCTGACCAGAGCCTCCCGCTGTTCTTCCAGGCATGGGGGACATCAGCTTTGCTCAAGCACATGTCCTGTGTCTTGAGGTCCCCAGGGGACAGGGAGCTTCCCCGTCGTGTCCCACATGATGTGAACTGAGGCTCGGAGAGTGGGGGCTCCCAGCCCTCATGTCCCGAGTCGGGCCCCTCTCACAGCACAGACCACGCCCGGCCTCAACAGGGCCCTGTCTGTGCTGTCTTCGGAGGGCCCCCGGGTGCCCGGAAGCAGCCACACTCATGGCCCCTCTCCTTGCCTTGCAGGTGGTGGTGCTGGGGGCCTGGGAGTCGGCGGTGAGTCAGCAATAAAAAGGCACCTTGTGCCCAGGGGGGCGGGGAAGGGAAAATCCTGCCCAGGGAGTGGCCAGTGTGGCCCCCCAGCTGGTCCTTTGGTATGGGGGCTTGAGGGAGCCCCCAGGGGAGTCCCAGAAGCTGAAAGGTCACCCCTGGGATGTGGGGACAGGAGCCAAGGAACCCAATTCTCCATGTTCCAGCCTGTCATGGGAGTAGGCTTGGGGAGCCAGACAGAGAGCTAGGGTCTAACTGGAGAGATTGCCAAGGGCCCAGCAAAAGAAAAGGTAACTAGCTGGGAATGGGAGTGAATGCCTGTAACCCGGATTCTGAGAGGCTGAGGCAAGAGGATCTCAAGTTCCAGCCCAGCCTGGGCAACTTAGTAAGGTCTTACTGCGAAATAAAAAATTTTAAAAGGCTGGGGATGTAGCTCAATGTGAAAGCCTTGGGTTCCATTCCCCAGGGAAAGAAGGAAGGAAGGAAGGAAGGAAGGAAGGAAGGAAGGAAGGAAGGAAGCAAGGAAGGAACTTGGAGGGACTGGGAGGGGCAGGGGTCGGCTGGGAGCTAAGCCTGGACCTCAAGTGTGTACCGTCTGACTGGCAGGCTGGGGCTAAGCCATGGAAAGGCCTCAGTCTTGGCCCCTTGTAAGAGGAGAGGCCGGTGGCTGGATGAGAGAGGTCGGGCTGGACGGCCTTGGGAACCTGATGAGACAGGACAGGGAGAAATGGGGTGCGTCCTCCCCATCCCCCCCTCTCTCCCTCCACAGGGAAGCCCCCCAAGCCCTACGGAGGGGCCCTGGGCGCCCTTGGAGCCCTCGGATACCAAGGTGAGTATTTGAGGAGCAAAGGCAGGAGTGGGGACAGTGTCTGCCCGCCTGGGCTGGCGGAGGGGACACCTATTTGGCCCAGACCTAATAGAAAGTGGGCAGATGGGGCTGGAGGCCACCCACCCCTTCTACAGGGGTAGGCCAGGCCAGGGTGCCCCAAGCTCCTGAGCTGCTGCCAAACCCCCGCCACTACTCTGCCCTGTGGTCACTCAGGATGGATTCCCTCTGCCCCCACCTGCTTCCCACTCTGGGAGTAAGGCAGCTGAGGCCAGGGGCAAGAAGCCCAAGGACAACACCAAAGGGTTCCAGGTCTCCATCCCGCCCCAGGGGATGCCCACTGCTTCCCAAACTGTGCACCCACTGCTCACTGCCACCAGGTGGCAGGAATGAGCCTCAAGTGGCTGGAGCCAGGCAAGCGGTGCACCAGGCAGGCTCCGCTCCCTAGATAGCTGACAGTTTTGCCAATCAGACCCTGACCAGAAGGGCCCAGGAATCCTGGGTTTCTCTTCCTACCTGGCCTTTCCTGATATGGATAAGACCCTCTCCCACTCTCTCTGGGTCTCTGCTTACTGATCTGATGCCTTGGCCTTTAAATTAGGGTCTAAACCAGGTGTGGTGGTGCACACCTGTAGTCCTAGCATTCAGGAGGCTCCAGTTTGAGGCCACACTAGTCTACATAGTCAGGTCAAGGCCAGTCTGAACTATATAGTGAGACTGTCTCAAAAAAGAAAAAAGAAAAGAAAAGAGAATGGGGGTCTACCCAGAGGGGCTGCTCTGAGTCCTTTCCCAAAAGTCTTCCCACCCATCCAGACCCCAACCCTGCCCATGACCTGGCCCCTTCCATCTCTGAATCCCCATCTGACCAGAGATATCTGGGACACCCTGAGAGTTGGGGCAGTGGTCAGTGTGTGCCCTGGGCCGGGGCCTGGCTCCTCTTGGCATCCCTTGGCCTCTCGGAAGTGGTCAGAGCAGCCAGGGGCTGAGATACACTCCAGAAGGCCCAAACTGACTCCTGTCCCCCACTGCCACCCAGGTGGCCCCTGCTTGGGGAAATCCTGTGGCCGGAAGAGGAAGTGAGCTTCCGGGGGGACCCCTGACTCTCGACCTCATCAACGTTGGTGCTACTGCTTGGCGGAGAATGTAGACCCTCAGAAACCCCACCCACCCATCCCCACCCGGGAGGCGGCCTCGGACAGGACAAGAAAACAAGAGCAGGGTGGCCATGGGCCCCAACCGCGAGGCCCCACTTCAGAGGCCCTGAGTGGGTGGGCTCAGCTCCTCCGCAGCCCCTTCCCACCTGGGAGTTCCCCCCACAGTCTCCATCTCTGGGAAAATTGGTGCTACACCCTGGTGCTCTCGTCTTCCTGGGGAGGAGGAGGGAAGGGGAGCCCTGGGGACACCCTCCCTCTCCGGGGCTCCTCTGAAGAATGGTGCCTACATTTCCTGGGCAGTGCCACCTCCCCCTGCCCATCAGGAGCCACCCCTGGCTGCGGTCCAGTTGGTACCCAAGCACCGGAAACCTAAAGCTGGATTCAGTCACTCTGTCCCCTCCCCTCTGCCCGTGGCTGTTCCCCACATCCGGGGCACCTTCGTGTCAGAAGACCCCATACATACAACACTGGGAATGGCCCCCTTGCTCTCATGGAGCCACCTGCCCGTCTGTCCATCCTCCCATCCTCCCAGCCTCGTCGCCAGTCCACTGCCCAGTGCCTCTAACTGGCTGAGCACACCTGTCGTGGCAGCCTGCAACCAGCCCCCAACCCCCCCACACCCCAACGCTAGCCCAGGGTGTGAGGGGCCATGCGGGCTGGGGGAACAGGACTCCGCTCCCCAGCCCGGATCTCTCCACACGCAGTACTGTACCCCCGACCCTCCCTTGAGCCACCGTAACTACAGAGCATGTCTCACCCCCCCATTTCTTTGTGTCTCGCTGTGATAGATCAATAAATATTTTATTTTTTGTCCTGGATATTTGGGGATTATGTTTGATTGTTGATGTTCTCTTTGGGTTTTATTTTTGTGCTGATCTGGGGAGCTGTAACTCAGTAGAAATTTCATTTTAATCACTCTGGTATAACTCTGGATGGAACACATTTTTTTAAAAAATAAGAAAGAGAATTAACTGCTTCAGAAAAGACTAATAAATGAAAACCTTTTAAAGGAAACGGTCTTGGGCTCCTTTGTGTTTTTCCATCTGGCCTAGTGGAGAGCAGGGCTTCACTGGGGGGACCTTGACCATGCATCATGTGCTGGGGAGGCTGCTGACCCCAGGCACCCACTGTGGGCATCCAGGTTTTCGGTCCTTCCCCAAGCTCCACTTGTCTTTTAACAATGACCTCCATAACCCGGGTGTAGTGCCGTGGGCCTGGAATCCCACCACTCGGGAGGCTGAGGCAGGAGGATTGTGGTAAATTTGAAACCAGCGTGGACTATGTAGTAAATTCAAGGCCAGCCTGAACTACATAGCAAGACGCCGTCTAAAAATAAATAAATAAATAGTAATAATAATAATAACCTTTGCAGAGGTGAAATCATCTACCACCATGCCCCTGCCTGGGCCGTAGCCTTTGAGCACGGTCCTGCAGGTGGCCCCTTGGCCTTGGCAAACAGCCACATGGAAACAGAGGGACAGCTGATCTGGGAGCACCAGGCAGGCCAAGGGTCCCCCCCTTCCCCTCCTCACCAGGGTCTTGCGAGGCACCACTGTGCTTCTTTATAAAGCATAAGAAATGAGGCCCTGCAGGGGGCAGCAGAGACCAAGTGCACCCTTAGGCGACCCATTCCCACGGCCTGTCCTCCTCTGGAGCCCCTGATGCTGGACGCACAGACATACGTGTCCACCTGGAGCCACCCCCCAATCACGTTCCTGGTACTAGATTTGAGAATGCCCTCCCCACACCACTCAGCCCCTCCCAGGACCCCCCAAGCCCTCATGCCTTGTACCCCTGGAGACCCCATTGCCACATGCACATCTCTCAGCAGGACCTAGGCCCTGGAGCTCTCTCCTTAGTGTGGGTGACACTGTCTCCTCAGGTTTGGGTGCAAGGAACTTGCAGTGCCACAAGGAGCAGGGATGGAAAGAGAAAGCAGTGTGTCCAGGGAGAGCACCCAGAGGTGTGAAAAAGGGCAAAAGGCAGCGAGGTACAGAGGTGCATGCCTGTAATTCCAGCACTCTGAGAGGCTGAGGCAGGAGAGTTGCAAGTTCAAGCACAACCTTAGCAACTTAGCAAGAGAGACACTTTTTTCAAAAAAAGAAAGAAAGAAAAAGAGCAAAGATAATTTACCAGGCAAAGACAATAGGCAGGAGGAGGGTGAGGCCTTCCAGGCAGGGGAAGGACAGCCAGGGAGCCCAGAGGGAGGGAACAGAGCTGGGAAGCCCTGGAGGATGGGTCAGGAGGCAGGAGGGCCGCTGCTCAGGGTAACCCACATGGGGCTGCAGGAACATTCCAGGGAGGGTGACCCAGCTTGCCCAGAGCGTGGCAAAAGAGATCCAGCCAGCCATTCTTTCCTGCCTTGCTTTTCTTTCTTTTTTTCTTTCCCTTCCACCCCATTCCCCATCCTGGTACTAAAGACTGCAAGGGGTGGGTTATTGAGGATGGAACCCAGGGCCTTCTCTCTGAGCTATATCCCCAGGCTGTTTTTAATTTTTATTTTTTTTATTTTTTATTTTTATTTACTTTTTATTTTTTTGGTACTGGGGATTAAACTAGGGTCCTTGCGCTTGCAAAGCAGGTGGTAAAACCACTGAGCTAAATCCCCAGCCCTTTAATTTTTATTTTGAAACAAGGTCTCACTAAGTTGCTAAATTTCCCAGGGTGGGCTGGAGTTTGCCATTCTCCTGCCTCAGCCTCCCAGAGTGCTGATTACAGATTACAGGTGTGCACCATTATGCCAGGCTTCGCAGCCTTTTTTTTTTTTTTCAAATTTTGAGACAAGATCTCACTAAATTGCCCAGGCTGGCCTTGAACTTGTAATCCTCCTGCCTTAGCCTCCCATATAGCTTGGATTGTAGACCTGCACCACCAAGCCCAGCAATTCATTTATTCAATCAAAAATAAAATCCTTTGTTGTCTCCTCCTCAGCTCTCTGGACTTGGACAACTAGTAGCTCCAGCCTCCAGCCCTATAGTCCCCCTGCCTTAGTTTCTCAGAGCTCACAGCTTTCTTTGTTTTCGATACTGGGGATTGAACTCAGGGCTTCTGCACTGGGATACATCCACAGCCCTTTTTTATTTTAGATTTTGAGACAGGGTCTCACTAAGTTGCCCAGGCTGGGTTCAAACATGTCATCCTGCCTCAGCCTCCAGTGCTGGATGACAGGGGTGCACCACCGCTCCCTGCTCCTGCCAGCCAGCTTGCTATGGTCTCTCTCTGCTCATGTCCATATCCTAATCGCCTCTTCTCTGAAGGACCCCAGGGATCTTAGAGCCTGCCCTAGTGACTTCATTTTCACTTAATTACCTCTTTGCAGACCCTATCTGCAAATATAATCACATTCTGAGCTCCTTGGTTAGGGATTTTCATATATGAATTTTGGGGAGACATCAATCAGCCCATAAGAGTTACCATATTTGGAAAAATGGCTTTCTTAGATGTAAAATAGAGACCGTCAAGGTGGGCCCTAAATGAGATCATGAGTATCCTTCTAAAAAGCCAGAACTGTGTGCCAACAAACTGAAACATCTAGATAAAATAAGTAAATTCCTACAAACACACAACCTACCAGGCTGACTCATGAAGCAACAGATGAGCTGAACAGATCAATAATGAGTAAGGAGCTGAATCTGTAGTAAAAATTCCAACAAAGAAAATTCCAGGGGGAGGGGAATGAGAAAAACAGAAGAACCAAGATACATCACATACAGGTACAAATTCCCTTTGATGAATGTGATCATTATGTATATCTAAAATGTACCAATAAAAAAAATGCTGGGGAGAAAGAAAAGAAGGAAGGAAAGAAGGAAGGAAGGAAGGAAGAAAGAAAGAAAGAAAGAAAGAAAGAAAGAAAGAAAGAAAGAAAGAAAGAAAGAAAGAAAAGTCCAGGGCCAGATGGCTTCCCTGGAGAATTCTGCCAACCCTTCAAAGATTTAAAACCAACCCTCCTGAAACCAAAAGCATACAGAGGCAGGAACACTTCCAGTGTCACCCTAAGAGGCTGGCATTATCCTAATACCCAAACCAGACAAAGACACAGGAAAAGAACTACAGATTAATATCCCTGATGAACATGGACTCAAAAATCCTCGCCAAAATCCCGAGAACCTTTCAAGAGACCCCATACTACAACCAAGTGATCTGTCCAAGAAGACACGGAGGTTCAATATGACCAAAGCCCACTGCGAGGATCACATTCAATGGTGAAAAACATAAAGCTTTTCCTCTAAGGTCTAAGATAGGATGCTTACTTTTATTCACCATAATATTATAAGTCCCAGCAGCCAGGTATGGTGGTAAGTGTCTGTAATTCCAGCACTCTGGGAGGCTGAGGCAAGAGGATTGCAAGTATGAGCCTAGCCTGGGCAATTGGTGACTTAACAAAGCCCTGCCTCAAAATATAAAAGAAAAAGAGCTAGGGAGGTAGCCAGCTCACTGTGAAAATCCTGGGTTCAATCCCCAGTAACACACACACACACACACACACACATTCAGTTGTATTTATATACATTCACAAATAACAATTTGAAAAAGAAATTAAGAAAACAATTCCTCCAGGCATGGTGGCGCACGCCTGTAATCCTAGCACTCTGGAGGCTGAGGCAGGAGGATTGCCACAAGTTCGAAGCCAGCCTGAGCTACATAGCGAGTTCAAGGCCAGCCTGAACTACATAGCCAAGACCCTGTCTCAACACCCTACCACCCTAAAAAAATAAAAGTGGTCAGATTCATAGAACCTGGAAGTAGAATGATGGTTACTGGGGGGCTGGAAAGTGGTGGGGGCTGAGGAGTTGTTTGATGGGTGGAATTGCAGGTTTGCAAGATGAAAAGTTTCTGGGGGTCTGTTTCACAACAATGGAAATATATTTAACACTACTGAGACAGACACTTAAGATAGTAAATCTTATGCTGTGTGTTTTCTTTTTGTTTCATTTTGGTCTGGGGCTTTTGTTTTGTTTTTTACTCAATTGAAAGGAAGAAGTGGGCTGGGGTTGCAGCTCGGTGGCTGAAGGCTTGCCTAGCACAAACCCAGCACCTCAAGGGTAAAGGAGGATGGCAAAGGACAGATTCTCCACTAGAGCCCCCAAGAGGGAGCATAGATCTCTTGGCCCCTTAATCTTGGCCCGGTGAAAATGATTCTGGACTTCAGAGCCTTCAGCTCGGGAAACTAATGCAGTGAATAAATGATTAGCTCCAACACCGAGTAACAAACAATCCGTTATATGGATGAGTCAAGGCCCTCTGACAACCCCATGCTTGAGAAGTTGGAGCAGCCGAGAGGCACAGAGTGGTTTTAACAAAAGTGACCAAGGAGAAAAGAAATAATGAAGAGGGCCAGGGATTTAGCTCAGTGGTTTCGCCTGCCTGCTGCACAAGGACCCGAGTTCTATCCCCAGTATTAAAAAAAAAAAAAAAAAAAAGAATGAAGAAGTAGCCAGACACTGGGTCCCAAGAGGACTTTGGGTTTAGAGACCAGAAAGTGTCCCATGTGGACCCACAGGCTGAGGCTCAGAGGTGACAGAGCAGGGACAAGACTTTGGTCCCATTGCCCAAAACATACAGCAGACCCAGGAGGTGGGAGAGGCGAGGGCTCTGGGTGTGTTTTGTGCACAGACCCAGTAGGATCTGCAGAAGTGATACAGGGCCACAGATGAAATATGAAATATTCTCTCCCAACCTGTTAGCTGTCTGGTACGTTGAGCTTGTGTTCTCTAAAAATCTTAGAATGAATTCTAGGAACAACGGAGGTTAAGGGTAGGAAGATATTTATTGAGAGGATAGCTCCTGAGAAGCAGGAGGGGTCCTGAATGTGTAGCCAGGGACCCCACTCTACAGGGTAGTTTTATGGAGTAAAACCCACGTGGGTATAACATGGGCCACAGCCATGATCAACCAATGAGGTTACAAGTACAGCCACTCAGGTAATGGTGGTCCAAACCATTGGGAAACAAGTCATGTAACAGGCATGGATGGAAAGAACAAAGACTCCTCCTAGGAAATGGTGGGTCCAGAGGTCTCTGGGTGGCTGATGTCTATCTGGACTTCATTAGGCCCGGTGTTTGTCCTTTGGGGAAGTATACAGGTCTGGTCATCTTGTCTTTATCTTGAGGCCTGCCTTCCAACAGATGTGTCTCCGGACGCAGTTGTGTTGTGTTTTACCTTTGTCCTGACTCTCAAGGACCTCGCCCTATCTGTCTGCTTATAATAGTTTTAACTAATTCGGCTGTCTGTAATAGAAGGATCAGCCGGGGGATGTAGCTCAGTGGTGCTGCACCTGCCCGGCAAGCACAAGGTCCTGAGTTCAATTCTTAGTACTGGAAAAAATAATAATATAAGGATCAGATTCGGGACAGAGGATAGAAGGAGAGGCATCTGGGCACCTACACACTAGGCCTGAGTTACTTTTAATGTTTTTTCTTTTCTTCCCCCCCGCCCCCCGGCCTGAATGACTGGATGGTGACTGGATCATTTCCTGACATGAGAGCGACCCGGGAGGAGCCAATCCACTTCCTCGAGGTCACACTGAGTGGGCCAGGGGGCAGCAGGCTGGTCTGACAGCAGGGACCCCGTGACATCAGCTGTCTGTGTCCTCATCCAGGACAGCGCAGGATTTGCCTCCCGCGCTCAGCAACGGCCAGGCTCAGCCTATGGCTGCGTCCCCAGGCAGCCTCTTGCTCCTGTGTTTGCTAGCTGTGTTTAGCCAGCACCAATTTGGCAGGCTTGGCCCATCCTAATCACAGGGCTGGAGTAAGTGAACTTTTGCTGTGGCCCCTCCCCTAGAAAACTTTTGATCATCAACACCATCAGTGAAATATCTTTGCACAAACACCAAATATATATTTTGGCCATCCCTGGGTGGCAGATGGCCACCTCAAATACTATCTAAAGCCAGAAATCTTAATTTGCACCCAAATTAAGATTTTCAACTGGACATGGACATGCAGGTCTATTATCCTAGCACTCCAGGAGGCTGAGGCAGGAAGATCGAAAGCCCAAGCAAGCCCAGTCACTGGGAAACTTAGTGACTTAGCAAGATTGTTTCTTAAAATGAAAAATAAAAAAGAGGCAAGGGATGTAGCTTAGTATGAAGGTCCTGGATTCAGTCCTCAGATCACATTTGTGACTGCAAAACACACAGAGGGACATTTATAAATTATATGTGTATTTATAGTCACTTATAAATTATATACATATTTGACTATAAAAATATATTCATCATAGAACATGCAAAACAGAGTCTAAGAAGCATGCTCTAAAAATGAAATAAACAATATTGGAATGATTTTTTTTAACAATACAAAGGTCGTTTTGATTTCAGTAAAAGACGTAGTTCGTGTGAGCAATGAGACTGAAAAAGGTCAGAGCCAAGGTTTCACCAGAGCTGGGGCTGTCAGGCGCTCCTTTCTATGGGGCTGGAAACTCCTGCTCTGTCTTTTTGCTTTTCCTGCAGTATCAGCATCATCTTGAAGCTCTGCTTTCCTTTTTTTTGTTTTCTGAAACAAGATCTTGATATGTAACTCAGGCTGGCCCCAAACTCAAGACAATCCTCCTGCCTCAGCTTCCCAAGTGCTGGGGTTACAGGCAAAGCTTAACATTTATAAAAGGTAGGAAAGAAGGAAAAGGAAGTGTGCTCTACAGAGCAAGTGCAGGCCAGTTGAAGTAGGGAAAGAAGTATGCACTGCAGAGTCCAGGGTGGGTGGCTGAAAAGCCTCACAGTGGCCACGAGCTTGATGGCCACTGTCTCCTCTAACAATGTCAGATCTAGGCCATCCCATCAAAAACCGTGATCTCCTGCCAGAAGATTGGTATCTGGTACAGGGCTCAGCTTGATCTTATTTCAGCAGTTCCGAAGACAGCAGTCCCTGATTAGTATAGGATGCAGAGAGTGGAAGCTATTCTACGCATGCGTCCTGAATCCTGTGACCGGTCTCCATGATTGACAGGTCACCCCCAGTTGCCGAGCAGCTTTGCCACGCCCTAATCTGCTGCCTCTCTGCCACCTTCTGCAACTTTAGCAGTCCTTATTGGTCTCCTTCAACTCTGCTCAGCCCACTGTAAACATCCTGTGTACTAAACAGGTCCTGCAGGGTGTGGGATGTGTCTAATCACTGCTACTCGGGATGCTGAGCCACGGGTATCACTTGAGCCCTGGTGTTCAAGACCAGTCTGGGCTACACAGCGAGATCCTGTCCTTAAAGTAAATAAATACAGACATTCCTCGTTTAACAACCTGCCTGTTTAACGACCTTCAGACTTAGAACTGAGGCACATGTTCAGACTTACAACCTATCTTTTTTTTTTTTTGCAGTTCTATACATCTCTGTTTGTTTGTTTTTCTTTTCTTTTTCTTTTTTGTTTTGTTTTGTTTTGGTACTGGGGATTGAACTCAGGTCCTTGCGCTTGCTTATGAGGCAGGCAGCGGAACCACTGAGCTAAATCCCCAGCCCTGTTTTTCTTTTTTTGAGACAGGGTCTTGCTATGTAGTTCCGCTGGCCTTGAACTCACTATGCAGCCCTGGCTGGCCTCAAACTTGTGACAGTCCTTCTGCCGCAGCCTCCCAAGTGCTGGGATTACAGGCATGCATCATCGGCATTTACGTACATCTTGTTTATAGAGCCTCGATGTCTTTTTTTGTACAGTACACCTTGTTCATATAGCACTGTAATTCTTGCTGATTGTAGTGTACAGTACAGTACTATAGTTGTATGTTTTGTTATACATCACAGTACTGCATGTAGAGCTATGCAAATAAAAACAGTCATCAAGTTGGAGTTTCCTTTGACCATTTCATTGTTCTGAGTATTGTAATGCACATACTACATACAATTCCTTATTAAGCAACCAGTTTATTTAAGGACCAAGTCAAGGGGACAAAACTCTGGCATAAAAGGAGGAATGTCTGTGAAATAAAGAACATCCCAGCAAGTGGGCTTCTGTTTCCTGTCAGGGCCTGATAGATACATACCCTAGACTCTAGGAGGAAAACAAACAAACGCAATGCTACTATCTCACCTCTGAGATCCTTCATGTATCCTGGGGACACTTCACTGGCAGCACCTGGGAACCATCTGACCAGCAGGCAGTAAGGGCACTGGCATCCACCAGGACTCTACCAAAAAACCAGGAGTGGTGGCACACACCTGTAATCCCAGCACTTGAGAGGCTGAAGCAGGAGGATTGCTATGAGTTCAAGGTCAGTCTGGGCTATATTGTGAGTGCAGGGCCAGCATGGGACTCTGTCTCAAAAAACAAAGAAACAAATAAAAAAAGAAAGAATATGGCTCAGTATGAAGGCCCTGAGTTCAATCCCCAGTACAGAAAGCAAGCAAGCAAGAAAGGCCAGACTGGGGATGTAGCTCAATGTAAAGAAAGAAAAGAAACCTAAATTTCTTCCCTCCTGGGGAATTGTAGAGTGTCACCCACTTTGGCCCTGCCCCGCCGCAGCTGCACACTGAGCCAGCTGCCTCACAATCACTGGGTGAACTTGGACTTGCAGCTCAACTCTGCCCACAGCTTCCTAGGCAGTGAGATGCTGCAGGAGCTGCGCCTGGGGGAGATAAGGTGGCCCCCTGCCCGCATCCAGCAATCCTAGGGCTGTCCACTTCAAGGCAGGCGCTCTGCCCTTCCAGTGCTGCACTGGACAGCCCAATCCTTTGGTCCCCTGACTCAGCCCAAACCCTAATCCCCTTCGTCCACTCTTGGACAGGGCAGGGTGCTGGACAAGGACTCACGCTGCTCCTGGTGCAGCTGGAGGGCCTGAGACGAGGGCATCACCTTACCCCGCCCCGCAGTCCTCACTGCAGGCCTCCTAGAGAGGGCGAGACACCCCGTGGCCCTCACCAGCGTCCCCGAGGTGCACCAGCTCTGCACTCGGTCCTTGGCCTCCCACTGTCTTGGGTCAGATGGACTCCCCACTGGAAGAAGAGGCCGGCGACTTCTCTGGGTTGGCTACACCCAATGAGAGCGCGCAGCCCAGCCTCGCCGAGCCCAGCAGGGAGTTGACGCCGGGGGACTAAGGATGAATGAAAGGGGAAGGGGAGGGGCGGGGCGACCTGGGGGCGGGGCGGGGCGCGCGCCCTGGCTCCGAGCCCCGACAGAGCTGCAAGGGGCGGAGCCGTTGGGGAGAGGGGCGGAGTCTCCGTCGAAGAGGCGGGGCCACGCAGGGCAGATGGGGCCGCCGCGCCGCGCCCGCCCCGCCCCTGCCGCAGCTCGCAGGCTCCGCCTCGGTCCGCCCCTCCGTGCGCTCCCCGAGCCGCCGCGGTTCCGAGCCGGGGTCCCAGCCCGTGTCTGTGAGGCGACCGTGGCCGGCCCGGGCCGGCCCGCGCTCCCGCCTCCGCCTCCCCGGGCCGGAGGTGGGCGAGCTTGCGGGCCCGGCCGCCCCCACGCCGCCCGCCGGCCCCGCCCCCCGCCGAGTGCATGAGGTTGACGCTACTTTGTTGCACCTGGAGGGAAGAACGCATGGGAGAGGAAGGTGCGGGGCGCAGGGGCGCGGGGGCCAGGACAGCGGGCGGGGGCCGGGAGCTGCGGTGCGCTGGGTCCCCGCGAGGCCTCGCCCCTGCCCCTGGGATGCGCAGGCCCCTCCCCTCCACCTTCTCCGCCCGCCATCCCCCCACCGCCGCC